ATGAAGTACTGGTTCCCCATGAAGTTGGGCCTGTCGTAGACCATGAAACAGCCGCTCTCCACCCTGCAGGAGTGGCACCTGCTCAGGTAGGAGGACATGTCGGGGCAATCGCTCATGCACTCATAGTGGCGCCCCTGGAAGTTCCTGTCCTCGTAGAAGATGATCTGAGGAACGCGGAGGAGAGCATCGGATTGAATTTCCCCGACATGCTATGGACGGTTTACGATCTACATCTGTGGATTAGAGCTCTGGAGTCTGGATCTGTGGTTGGGAGTTTCCTGCTGCCCCCGTGTTCCTGCTCTGTTGCCGTCATAACTTCTACCATCATCATTAGCATTAATATCATTGCCATTTTTCATCTAGTCTATGTGTTGCTGTGTTGGCTGCCTCTCTCTGCTCCCTCTGTCCTTCTCTCGCCCTCTCTCTCTCTCTCTCTCTCTCTCTCGCCCCTAACAGGCCGAGGCAGATGTCCGCCCACCCTGAGCCATGGTTCTGCTCGAGGTTTCTGCCTGTTAAAAGGAAGTTTTTCCTTGCCTGTGTCGCCTAGTGCTTGCTCATGGTGGGAATTGTTGGGTTTCTGTAATTATCTTCAGAGTAGGGTCTGACCTGCTCTGTTTGGAAAGCTGTGAGACAACTGTTGTTGTGATGTGGTGCTATATAAATAAAATTGAATATAAATAAAATTGAATTGAATTAGTAAATCTGGGGTGCATTTCCGTGCTTACCTTCCCCATTCCCATATCGGTGGTGGACATGACTGTAGACGAGCTGCTGCTGCTGGTGCTGCACTGCTACCCTGTCTGCTTTAACCTTTGCTTTTATACCTGACCAGACCCCACAGGGTCGGTGGGCCCCCTTTGTTGAAACCACAGACTCAGCAACATGCTATGGAGCTCTGTACGGGTTGGTGATTCTGTGTTGTAACATCACATGACGGGGCCCTCGAAGACTTCAGAAACGCATTCTTTTGACCAGCTACAATGCCCTTTTTCTCAGTTTGAAGGACGTCACACCACTACCACCTAATAAATAACAATTGTCAAAGGTACATTTCATATTTAATGCTTTAATCCTGACAAATATCTTCTTAAATATCACGTTTATGCAGTTTATTAAAGATTTTTTAACGAGCAGAAACAAGGCCGTAAATAGAAACATTTAAGGTCGTGGATATGAACTTAAAATAGCACCATGAGTTAAAAGAGTGAGCTCAGAACGGGGAATATAAATAGCTGAATGCAGTAATTAGTATTGTAACATTAGGGAGGCCTTTATGTGTTTAGTTTGTTTATGTATTTATTCATTTTTCTAAATAATGTTGGCTTCAGTCAACTAGTTTAATCAGATAAAATACAGTATTTGAAAAAAGTTGCCAAAAAGTTTAAACTTTCTCTAAATTTAATGAAGATCTACAACATATATGTAGGAATAGTTTATTATCATTCTGTAATGTCACACAAATGTGTAATCAAAGATAATTCTTGTAACAGTAGCAACAACAGTAGAATTCAGCAAAAACCTCTGTGTTAATTTGTTTTAGTTATAGTTGTAGATGTTAGAGTAAATCAGCAGAACATTGTTTTGAAAAAGCCTTTTATTTCATTTGAAAATTTGTGATATTAATAAGAGGTCCCTCCTATAGGAAATATTTTAAAGATTTCAAATCAGAATCACCATTAGCTTAAAATAAGTCGATAAGCCCATGAAACTACACTCTTACAGATGTGAGAAAAATAACTTATATGTCTTATAAAATATAATCTGTAGGGGGTTGGAGTGAAACACACTACTGTTTGTTTCTTCAAATAAATCAAAGTAAAAGGGCAGTTTCTGAGCATACCTAAATTGTTTGGTAAAACAGTTTTATCGGTTGTTTTTAGCTTTACTTAGCCGTTAGCAACTAGCAGCCTTGTTACAGCTAGCTGAAATGAACAGCTAGCTGATTCATAAATCTAAAATATACTAATACTTGTGATTTGTAGCCACATTTGTTTTCATAGGATTAATAAATATGAATTCCATGGTGGTTTTAATGAGAGTAACATATGAACGAAATGTTTGTGTAATACTTTTCTGTTCACAATCTTCATTTAGCATGTGCTAGCTTAGCGCTAGCGTTAGCGGCAGCAGAGCAGAGCACAGCAGCATGTCCTTGTGTGGGGCTTTTTAAAAGCTTTTTTTGTTTTATGCAACACAAGTGTTTTATGATGTGCTGAAATATGTATTAACAGTTCAACAGGAGTACTGTTTGTCAATTTGACAGAACTTCATCAGTATCGGTGCGTAAACTTATAACTTGCTATAACCAGAGTTGATAGCTGCTTTTTATTACATAGCTTTAAAATGATCCTGAATTATGATAACTCACTTTTGTTTAATAGCAAACAGTGGGGGCTCTTTGTAAAGTCAAAACAAATTTAAGCTTTACGTAAAAATGTCAAAACTCTTATGTCATATGTCAGTTATTGATTTTAAAAAAGCCTTTTATGATCCACATTAAATAAAAGATAATGCTGAATTGAATGATTTGACAAAATAAGCTCATTCTCAGTTTCATTTTACTTTAATTCCCCATGTAATAATAAATTATTGATCCTGTTCTTATGAGCTTATAATTCTGCTGTTTTATGAGGTGCGTTTTTCAAACTGTTCAGTTCATGAGATCCATAGTTTATTGGGAGTATATTTTGTGGAATTTCTCCCTTTTCTTTTTGTCACATTTAGTGAAGGTAGATGTGTATAATTTGGGACATTTTTGGGAGCAGTTGCTTCTTAGTTATTTTTATCTGATTAAACTTTTAAAATGGGTTTAAATGTAGTAATTAATAATGGCAGCTTTTCAAAATGATAAAGCTCTAATACCCCTAAAAGAGCATCGCATATCAGGATGTCTTATGTGGCCATTTCCATTTTCCACCTTCAAGACTTCAATAAACCAGTGAAACAAAATGAAATTAGAGGATTAAATCACTTTATTTAGTATTTTTTTATGCATTTAGTAGTAGGAGTCCATGATGCGCCTCATGCTCATGAACCTCATG